ATTAATTCATAATAATCGATTTTTACAATTTAAATAATCAATTAATTCATAATAATCGATTTTTACAATTTAAATAATCAATTAATTCATAATAATCGATTTTTACAATTTAAATAATCAATTAATTCATAATAATCGATTTTTACAATTTAAATAATCAATTAATTCATAATAATCGATTTTTACAATTTAAATAATCAATTAATTCATAATATTCGATTTTTACAATTTAAATAATCAATTAATTCATAATAATCGATTTTTACAATTTAAATAATCAATAAATTCATAATAATCGATTTTTACAATTTAAATAATCAATTAATTCATAATAATCGATTTTTACAATTTAAATAATCGATTAAATGGTACTGACTTCGAACCACTAATCTGAATAAAATTCTAATCGATTTTTAGTAAGTAAATAATCGATTTTCGGCCTTTGTTCATCGTCTTCTACCTTCGGTCCATTTTCGGACATATCAATTTTAGTTACCAAACTTCAATTAAACTATATAGAAATGTTCTCCAAGGTTCATAGATCATTTTAGAATCATTAAAACATATTTCTAACATCAAATTCAAGGTTTATGATTCTTGGTTCTTCAAACATGTCAAACACAAAACTCAACCAAACGACCATTTATGAACGTAAAAACAACCTATATGAACATTCTAGTCATTAGATACATCTACAGGCTTACCTCGAAGTGTAATGGAGGTTTTGAAGATTTTCCGGCAAAACTTCCGGCGACTCTATCTCACTGCTCCGGCGACCTCACACAAAGATGACAACACCACTGCACTCTACTCTCAGCAAGGAACAATATAGAAGGAAGAATGAGTTGTTTTGGTGATGAAATGAGGGAGTTGGGTTGTCCTTAAATAGCCAAGTGAGGAAGGAAGAAGACATGGGTTGCAGCTTCCGTGATTAAGCGACGATTTGGAATCGGCGTAATTGAACAGGGCGCCGTTTGGTGTGTAGTCCCTGATTGGGACTAATTTTGGTCCCAGTTGGGGTACACTTTTTGTTCCAACTTTCTCCAAATTGAAATCCAATTGAACCGTTGGGGTTAGATAGTCAAACTCTACATAATGATATGATTTTCATTATTTATTGACAAACTTTAGAATTTACTTATTTTTGGGTCCTTCTCAGTAATTAATTAATTATAAATTAATTAACTCTGATAGGCCTATTTTTGGGGCGTTACATTACATGCATGCAAGCGGAATTGCTTCCACACAATGTAAGTCCAAAGCATAAACAAAGCTTGTTGTTTCAACCCTTAGCTTACTCCTATACATTTCCCTTCCATCCCTTAGCTTACTCCTATCATTTGTTATCAAAGCTTGTTGTTTCAACATCTCTAAGGACCAAGAACACTCTTCCCCTTTTTCCTCTTTCTTTTTTCCTTTTTCGGCCATCTCTCTTTCCCTACTACACTCAACACTTTTCACCATGATAAACCAATCTCAAACCATGTCCAATGAAGAGCTCCAAGCCTCTAATGCAGCCCTCAAGGCTCAAGTTGAGTACCTAGCCAAGCAAGTGGCTCAACTTACGAAGATGAAGATGAAGATGCTTGAGACACCCGAAGAGAGTGACGAAGAGCTAGATGTGGAAGCTCAAGATGTTGGAAACTCTAGCAACAACACTAGTGGTAGCTCTTGTGACAAGGGAGCTAGTGACTTCAAGGTTGACATTCTGACCTTCGAAGGAAAGAACGATCCCGATGAATTCCTAAAATGGCTAGAGACCGTAGAACGTGTCTTCGACTTCAAGGATGTCCCCGAAGAAAAGAAGGTAAAATTGGTTGCTTTGAAGCTACGAAAGTATGCTTCGACTTGGTGGTCGAACTTGACCTCCAAAAGAAGACGCGAAGGAAAGGCACCCGTGAAGACTAGGCTAAGATGAGGAGCCTAATGCAGAAGAAGTTCTTCCCGGACCGGTATGTTCAAGAAAACTTTTCTAGGCTTCAAAGCCTAAGGCAAGGGACCCGTTCAGTGGAAAATTACACCCGAGAGTTCGAAGAACTTTTGATGAGATGTGACCTTCAAGAAGATGATTCTCAAACCCTAGTCTGATATCTTTTCGGGCTGAACACCAACATTGCCAACATTGTGGAGCTCCAACCATACCAAACCCTAGAAGAAATAACTAAACTTGTTGTTATACATAAGCTCCGGAATTGGGCTTAAGTTTAAGAACAAAACTCCTTAAATTGCAGGGATGAGGGTTAATCGATTATTCAGGCATGATAATTGACTAACAAGTGGTTCAGTTTCTCAGGAGTAAATTTCGAAAGATTCAGGAAAGGTAGATAATCGATTGACAAGTTGATGACAATCGACTATTGAAGGATGTTGGTTTCCTGGGGGGGGGGGCCTGATAGTCGATTGACTGATAGTGATAGTCGACTATTAAAGGCTGCAGGTGTTTCACAAGGGCTGGATACTCGATTGTCAACAATGATAATCGACTATTTGACGGGTTCAGGGAAGGAAAAGGATTATTTTGATGAAATGAAAACAAACCAAGTTGGTGTTAAGAGATATCACACACCCTTATCTTAACTTGGGATTGAGTCTAGCATTCAAATAAGATATCACACACTCATTTAAATAACTAGAACCTAAAACGCACAATCAAGAGAACCACTCTTAAGATATAGGATTAGGAATTTGAATGAAACACACAAGTGAATCACTTTGATTAAAATGGAATACAATGTATGTTTACAATGCCTAGGGATGAGCTTATATAGGAAGACAAAAATGAGACTACCATGTCTCTTATTCACACAAATTAAATGGAATAATAGCCACTTGTTGGTGTCCCTTTGGTGGGGAGAAAATTAGGGAGGGTTGTACTTGTAAGGTAGGGTTTTTGGCCATAAATGGTGGGATGGAATATGTGAATATAATTCACAAATTGATTGGCTTTGGTGTTAGGGGTGAACCGGGGGTCTTATCAAGTTGTTTTTTTTGGAGATGGAATTGTGGAATAATGAAGGGGAAATGGGCTGGACGAAATATGGAGTATGTGAAAGGAGTTGTTTTTGGGATTTTAATGGAAGAAAAGAATAGGATTAAGAAGAAGAGATGAAGAGATATGAAATGGAAGAAATCAGGGATGGATAAAACCAAGTTGGTGTTAAGAGATATTACACACTTATCCTCTTTTGGGGTTTGAATCTAGAATTAAATTAAGATATGACACACTTAATCAAATATGTAGAACCTAAAACTCACACTTAAGATATAGAATTAAGAATTTAGCTAAAATAGCATCACACTATGTTATGAATACTCAAAGAGTAAAAGGTTTTCAATACTCAAAGATGTGTTACATTTGGCCATAGGGCCTGAGTTATATAGGCAGGGGGAAGGGGGAAATAATACATAATGCAATGAATGTGAGCATGAGGAAGCTTCCTAGCAACATCCTCTCTCAAACCTTGAAATATCATCCATGTGTTTGGGTCCTTTTATTGGAATAAAATCAGGGATGGGTGTGGTGGTAGGGTATCTAATAAAAGGCAACCCAAGGGGAATGAATGGCATTCTTTTGGGCTGGTTTTGGGGGATGTATTCACCCAACAAGGGGGGGGGCAAAGGGGAAAGGATCATATGTGTGGGACTTTGGCTGGATATATGGGGTTTTATTTGGTGGATAAAGGGTTAAGAAAGTGCCATGTTTCTCCTGGAATTTTATGGTTGTTTAGTGGGTTGTACTAGGGAACACAGTAGGGACAATGTTGGGTGGATGTTGGAAGATGAATGAGGCTGTTTTGGCTTCTTATTTTGACCAGGGGTTAAAATAGATGGAAGAGACTTTATTTTGGATATCAAAAGGAAATAAAATACTTTTGGTTGTTTGGGGTTGGGTTTGACGGAATGGAGGTTGCCCCGCGGAACCCTTAGGTCAAAAACGAAAGGTTTTTAGGCCTTTCGGGTTCAAGGAGTTTGAATTCTCACTAAAATGGATCATAATGTTTGAACGTGAGTCCTTTGGTTCCCATGAATGTGTGAGGCAACCTTCTTTTGGGAAACATTTGCAAAGCCGGTCCTCAAGGTGATCTTTGAGACTTAGGAAAGTCTTCGAAGCTAAGCTTTGATACCAAATGTTAGGGGTGAACCGGGGGTCTTATCAAGTTGTTATTTTTGGAGATGGAATTGTGGAATAATGAAGGGGAAATGGGCTGGACGAAATATGGAGTATGTGAAAGGAGTTCTTTTTGGAGTTTTTAATGGAAGAAAAGAATAGGATTAAGAAGAAGACATGAAGAGATATGAAATGGAAGAAATCAGGGATGGATAAAACCAAGTTGGTGTTAAGAGATATTACACACTCTTATCCTCTTTTGGGGTTTGAATGTAGAATTTAATTAACATATGACACACTTAATCAAATATCTAGAACCTAAAAATCACACTTAAGATAACCACTCTTAAGATATAGAATTAGGAATTTAGCTAAAATAGCATCACACTATGTTATGAATACTCATAGAGTAAAAGGTTTTCAATATTCAAAGATGTGTTACATTTGGCCATAGGGTCTGAGTTATATAGGCAGTGGGGAATGGGGAAATAATACACAATGCAATGAATGTGAACATGAGGAAGCTTCCTAGCAACATCCTCTCTCAAACCTTGAAATATCAGCCATGTGTTTGGTTCCTTTTATTGGAATAAAATCAGGGATGGGTGCGGTTGTAGGGTATCTAATAAAAGGCAACCCAAGGGGAATGAATGGCATTCTTTTGGGCTGGTTTTGGGGGATTTATTTAGCCAACAAGGGGGGCAAAGGGGAAAGAGTGATGTGTGGGACTTTGGCTGCATATATGGTGTTTTATTTGGTGGATAAAGGGTTAAGAAAGTGCCATGTTTCTCCTGGAATTTTATGGTTGTTTAGTGGGTTGTACTAGGGAACATAGTAGGAACAATGTTGGGTGGATGTTGAAAGATGAATGGGGCTGTTTTGGTTTCTTATTTTGACCAGGGGTTAAAATAGATGGAAGAGACTTTATTTTGGATATCAAAAGGAAATAAAATACTTTTGGATGTTTGGGGTTGGGTTTGACAGAATGGAGGTTGCCCCGCGGAACCCTTAGGTCAAAAACGAAAGTTATTTAGGCCTTTCGGGTTCAAGGACTTTGAATTCTCACTAAAATGGATCATAATGTTTGAACGTGAGTCCTTTGGTTCCCATGAATGTGTGAGGCGTGGGAGAGGGTATGATAGAGCCGGGCTCGGGTATATGATTTGGTGGGGTTATTTTTGGGCAGGAAAAGGGGTGGTAGGGCTGGCTATTTGGAGCCATTTCCTGGGCAGGATATGGTGAGATAAAAGAGGTTTTGAAGGGTGTGGATGCGGGGCAATGTGTCTTGGTTTTTAGTGATTGTTTGCCCAGCCTAGTTGGGGAAGAAAAAGTGTGGTTATGGCATGGATTTGGGCTGGGTGTTTTTCGGCCAGAGGTAAGGGAACAAGAAATGTAGTTTTGGGCTATCTTTGGATATTTTGGGACTTGGTTTTGGGTGAGGGAGACTTGGTTTTAGGTGGGTGTTGGGCTTAGGGATATTATGGTTATGTTGTGGATTTTATAGCTGATAAGTTTTGTCCAAAAGGGATCATAACACTTAGCCATTATTCCGTTAATTTGTTTAACAACTTCGGAGTCGTTGGTAGTCACCTGGGGTATATCATCCTCCCCTTCTTCAAAAGAGTTTGTCCTCAAACTCGGAAGTTCCTCAGGCTCGAAGTACGGGCTGATATCCTTGATATTAAATGTAGCCGATACTCCGTAGTCTCCCAGAAGGCTGATCTTGTAGGCATTGTCATTGATCTTCTCTTGGATTTCAAATGGTCCGTCAGCTCTTGGTAACAGTTTGGATTTGCGTTTTGTGGAAAAATGCTCTTTTCTAAGATGAATCCACACCAATTCTTCCGGTTAGAAACTCATGCTTTTTCTCTTCTTGTTGATTCGTGCATTGACTTGCTTGTTCATTGCTTCAATCCTGTCTCGGACCTCATTGTGAAGGTCTTGAATCTCCTACGATCTCTTGTCTGCTTCCCAACTGTATTTGGTGTCCGTCATGATAGGATCAAGCTCGAGTGGGGGTCAAGGGGTTCGAAGCATAGACAACCGTAAAAGGAGACAGTCCGGTAGTCTTGTTCGGGGTGCGGTTGTAGGCAAATTCAGCATGTGGTAGTAGCTCTTATCATTGTTTGATGTTCTTTTTAATGAGGGCTCGGAGAAGAGTTCTAAGGGTTCGGTTGGTGACTTCGGTCTGTCCATCGGTCTGGGGGTGGCTCGATGTACTAAACTTGAGTTTAGTACCTAGCTTTCTCCATAAGATCATCCAAAAGTGGCTTAGGAATTTCGTGTCTCTATCCGAGACCATGCTTCGAGGAACCCCATGGAGTTTTACTATATCTCGAAAGTAGAGATCAGCCACTTGTGACACGTCATAGGTGGTCACACATGGTACGAAGTGCGCCATTTTTGAGAATCGGTCCACCACGACCATGATAGAATCCTTGCCGCGTTGTGTTCTTGGCAGTCCGGTGATGAAGTCCAGGCTCACGTCTTCCCATGGGGCAAAGGGCACGGGCAAGGGCAGATGTCTTCCTTGAGGTAATGAATGGCTTTTGGCAAGGTGGCAAGTGTTGCATCGTTTCACGAAGTGTTCTACCTCTCGTTCCATCTTTGGCCAGTGGTAGTGCTCCTTCATCATCATGTGAGTCTTGTCGACTCCATCATGACTAGCTAGGCCTCCCCCGTGGACTTCGTCAATGAGGTTCTCGCGCACACTGCATTTCGGGACGCACAGAGTGTTACCACGGAAGAGATAACCGTCCTTGACAAGAAAATCTCCATAGGGCCGAATGAGACACTTAGAATAAGTGTCCTTGAAGTCTTAATCCTCCTTGTATAGCTCTTGCAAAAACTCAAAACCAACAAGTTTGGTACTAAGTACCGTTAGTAATAAATGCCTCCAAGACAAGGCATCGGCGCCCTTGTTCATGGTTCCGTTTTTGTGCTTGATGGTGAAGGTGAAGGTTTGGATATATTCGACCCATTTAGCATGCCGGGGTCGGAGTTTATGTTTCCCTTGGATGTATTTGAAAGCCTCATGGTCGGAATGTAAGATTAACTCCTTGCTTACG